GGTTCTGCTGTAAAGTCACCCTTACCTACAATCAAAACACGGATTTCGAGCACGCAGAAACATTTTACATGAAAATAACTCACATGGAGAACCCGTAATCACAATTTGATCAACAGATACAACACCTGTTCCGCTTAATTTTCCTTTCATTGCCTCAAACACGATCTGAAACATGATTACTTGATCTTTTTCCTTTATCTGTTAAATATTTTATCTATACCTGGTATTTTGTGTTGGTGCTACTCATGTCTATTTCTAAGGGTGCTTCACCAGAATTCCATCTGTCTGGATTAGAAGTTCCATGTCGAGACCAAACATGTGTGTCTCGATCAGACCAAAAATCTCGAATGTACACATTTAAGATATCGTCGTCCGTGCCAGCAATATTATACTGAAACATTACACAAGCACTTTGAGTCACAGCATCGAGTGTCGGTGATGTAAATTGAGCACTAGCACCGGGTGAAGTTAAATTGCCACTTTCTATTTGAATATAATATCCTACGTGTATAAATAGCATAGTATGCATTTTTTGCTTTGGTATCAAAGTAAATTAACGAGCGGACGTCACCAAATGACTAAGCGATTCTCGCATACTGATTGCGCATATGATGTCATTGTGACCGTCTTGAGCAGATTTCTGTACGCTGATCTTTACAAAATATAACGTTGGCAATGACATTTTTCTGAGATTGCCATTTTGTAGGTCATATCCACTTATCTATTTCTATTTACTTACTTTGAAACTTATCAGATAAGTGTGAACAATGTTGAAAGACTTTGGATATGAAGTGTTACTATAAGATGATTTGACATTCGATAGTATAGCCTTCTATATCTGTCACATCTGACTGTGAATGATTTGACATGATCTAAAAAATGGAAATCTCGGAAAAATTTCACTGTCAATTTTCTACTTGTAAAGATCAGTGTACAGAAAGCTGATCAAGGCAGCCACAACGACAATCAGCATGCCAAAATTGGTATGACTAACCATGTATTCAGCATAAAAGCAGCGCAATCCTAAGACAAAACTACACAATAGATCGTTATTACCTTTTGAGCATTTTGTCCAGTCTTTATTGTTGTTTGTTTTACATTGCAGTACATTTGATCTGATCATGCAGTAATAGCGTGTATGTCCCTCGGTATAGGGCATTTCACAGTTCTTGTCATCCAGAGTTTTTCGCACTAAAACAAATAAAAACATCATTGTGTTTGGCCGACTCAGCCGGCTGAAAGAAATGAACCTACTTATTGAACTATAGTCGCTTCCCGGTCCAATCTGAACATCAACACCTTTGCCTTCTACTACTTTCCATTCGTTGTTCGACTCTATTCGCCATCCACAGGTTCCACGATCATAGTCAAAGTCACAACTAGCATTCGATCTTGCACGTGGCGTTGTTGTTGGACGTGTGCGAGGAGTCCTGGTACTTGGAACTAAAAAGAGATCCTTAGTTTCCGCTCGACCTACAGTTGCTTAGTTTATGTTCACGCTCTTACTTGCCTCGCCGTGAAGAACGATATCATCGATAGCAATATCGGATGATTTTCCAAGATCAGAACGATTTGCAACAAACTCAATCTGAAAATGAAAAACATAGGTCGTGCACACTTTTCGTGCAACACTTGGTACTTACATTCAGAAGTTCTCTTGTCGGTAGTGTGATATTAGCGTTCAGCCACTGGCTACTTTGCCTTCCAGTTTTTGACCACATTATATGCCCATTGAGAATCAATGCTAGTGTTCCTATTTGATTTCCATTCATATAATACCAAAATGATAACATTTGCGACTCATTCAATGTGAAGGATGTGTTCATATGACCACTGGGATCCGTCGCTGTAGTTGCAGAGCCCGAAAACAGTGCATAGTGTCCACCTAATGTAGAATTCGTGCACAAGTAACCTGAGAAGCACGAATAAAAAGAAACTACGCACTTCCGGTGGTATGATCAAAAAGTGGTCCGCTGCTAGGTGAACCTGTTCCTGATTCTGCTAAGAGCCATTTTTTGTCTCTTGTCCATGCACATTCATCTAACTCAAAATCGCATGTCACGGTAACAGCTGCAACGTAGCCTAAATGAACGAAAAACATCGAGTCCAAATGTAATATTACAATTAGCACCCACCAACTAAATGAAGAAAGTAGAATAAAATCTTTTTCATATTCCCTTGAATTGTTCGAATCAGATTTAAAACGCATTATAGTCATATTTCTTACTTCGCTGAAACTATTTCTTTGTTTACCATCGTTCGTTATCTTTCTTCTAAGCGTCGTCATCAGGTGTATCTTGTTTTCTTACATTGCAAAATTTCAATAGCATAAGTCTAAAAACAGTGTAGTAACATCACACTACTCTCTCACGAAAGAAGAGAACCAGTTGATTTGTAAAAGTTTATTAATTATTCGGTTTGAGTCATGCATAACAGTCCAACAGAATGCTGAGCTTTTAGGAATACAAACTCACA